GATGTTGGATTTCGGTTTTGCTATCAAGCAACAATTGGCTCCATAGTGGAGCCAACCTTCTATATACAACAAATAAACCTGTCATATTAATAAATGATCTTAATGTTATTTAAGTAATCAGAGTATATGACAGGTTTATTTGTCGTATATAGAAGGTTGACTCCTGTTGACGAGCGTTTTCGGTCAACGGTTAAAGATAAAGTTTATTGAAAACAAGACTGAAAAAGAGGAGAATGACTCGGTTTAATTATGATTTCATTAGGCGATCGCGAGGTAGGCCTCTCGTACGAGGTCGGCACTTGCGATATACTTACAATTCTTTTAGTGAGTTTTTTACAGTTCTTAGAGTGAGAAAATAGAGAGAAGGCAGAGTTAGTTGGGATTCAACAACCTAAAATAAATGAGATGAGCTGCTATTTATAGTGGTCTTTAATGTGGCACTATTCAGCTACTGTTCACTGGTCTTGTCGCACAGTAATTCGGCAGGGCAGTTCGGCGTCCGTCTGACGGTTATTTAATGCGATTTGAGGTTTTTCCAATCATTGCCTGACGGGCATTAAATGCCAGCATGGGGGGCATTTAATGCTGGATGGCTTTGCTGACTTAGGCTGGCTGGTAGGGGGCTAGACCATGATTACCTGTCCCATCGTCCAATGATGACCTCCCAAGTGGGAATATTTTAATGTTCATCGAGGCCCGTGCGTCGTCCCTGGCCGGCCTCCTCATACTTTCAGGTCGGCACTTCGTTCTTGGATGCTCATGAGACTACGAATAGTCCCCTTCCTGTCCGGCACCCTTCCAGGTCGGCGGCTACCCGGTCTGAGCCTGGCACCGGGCTGAAAATCTGTTCCCAGGGCGGTTTCCCGCCCCTCTAATCCGCGGTCCAGCTCGGCACTTTGGTATCAGACCGGGTTCTTGTTTCGATCCGGAGGGGCTGAGTATCCGATCCGGCCCGGACCGAATCGGTTGTCAACATACAGGCCCCCGGGCTCGGGCTAGAGGCTTTATCATCTAGCTCGAGGCCGTCACTCTAACGCTCAGTCCCGAGTTCGTCTTTTCTCATTTTTTTTGCATAAGAATCTCCAATTTTATTACCAAAAAAGATATGATTTGAATATTGGTAAAAAAATAAAATATGATACGAAAAAAATGGGATTCTAATTTTGCCATAAGAATCTCAAAATTTGTTACAAAAAAAATAGTATTCAGATTTTGTTATTAAAGATTTACATGTGTTTTTTCAAACTTTCCATTAATAGTAAGTTAAACATTATATTTATTTGGTCAAACTTTCTATTAATATATTTTTCCAACCACCTTTTTATTAATAGATTAATAGATGTTGGATTTTGGTTTTGCTATCAAGCAACAGTTGGCTCCACTGCCAACCTTCTATATACAACAAATAAACCTGTCATATTAATAAATGATCTTAATGTTATTTAAGTAATCAGAGAATATGACAGGTTTATTTGTCGCATATAGAAGGTTGACTCCCAATATATATGAAGCTAACTGTTAGCTTCATAGCAAAACCGTGTTGGATTTATATGAATAAACTAATTATGTCATCGATTGCTTTATTACCAGAAAGTCCAGTATATACAAGTTGTTTCTATGCATATAATATTAAAATGGTAATTTATAATGGTAATATGTTTTAAACATATAGTATTATACTTATTTATGCATATAATATTAAAATTATAATTTAGATAAATGTGTTATGTTTTCTAATTCGATCACTGATTAAAATAAATAGTACACAATGATATGAATCACTGTATTGATTGCATAAAATATAATAAATAATGTAATTTTTGAAATTTTGAGGGTATCAAAAACAATTAATTAGCTAAAAAGTAGTAAATTTATTATAACAATTGCTTATGAGATTTCGAAGAATTTTACTATGACATTAGAATAAATTAATTT